TCATGTTTCTCACCTGAATTGCAAATGAGGTATCGCTTTCTTATCAGTTAAAAAACATGAGCAACTGCACGTATAAATAATATGCCACCAACTGCCAGCTGTTTGTGCCAATGACATTCTTCTGAAAAGAATAGATCCCCTCATCATCTGTTCTCTTCCCTCTTGCAGAAAATCTGGAACTCTTCTGCAAGTGCAGCAGAAGAGATTTGTCTTTTGGCTTCAGATACAGCAGTGAAAATGTCTCTTTAAAATAATTCTGTATTAATAACTTCCATATTTGACACAGGTAATAGCTGATTTTTTGAGTGCTTCCTTGTCCTCTTTCTGCATATCTCTAGGCAAGAAAGAGTCAGTGCAGCTTTCTGTTTCCTAGGAATTCCTTTTTAAAGAATTCACCGTCTTTAAGTGGATTCAGGGTTTCCATTCTGAATGCTGTGGAAGAATGTTGCTCTGTTTAAAAATGCTTTTTTTTTTTTTTTTTTCTAAATAAACATGAAAGATAACACTAAGTCATTTTTGTCTTGGTGAAAGGTTGGGCTTTTAGCTTCCCTGAATTCAGGGTGAAGTTAAAATGCCCCTGAAACCTCGGACACGGAAGCAAGCAGTTCTGCTTGCTTGGTAATCTTTATTAGTAAATTTTGCGGCGAACAGAACTTAAAAATACTGCAAGGTGAAATTGTTCAGGTGATTGATCAGCTTGATGTTTTCTTTGAGTAAAGTTGAAAAACGCTTTTCAGCGTTTTGCCAGCTACAGGCAGAGATGTATTTCTGTTGCAAATGACCTTCTGGGAGAGCTTGACTGCAGGGACATGATTCATTGGCAGCCTGCTGGTGACAGGCATGTTCCTATTGTTCTCAAACTCTGGTTTCACATTTCTCCTGTTAGATAAGCTGCAACCATTAACTACACAGTGAGCTACAAATAAAGTGTGATGTAAGAATTAAGCTTATTATCTGATTGGCAGCATGGGGCCACTCTTCCAGGTTAAGGGTTTGAGCAGATTTTTTTAACAAAATGATGCCTTTTCTTACAATTCAGAAAGCATTGTCCTCCCAAAAGATAAAATATGCTTTTGGAAGCTGCAGTGTATATATATAGTGTGAGCTATAAATAGTCTGGAGCTAGTTCTGCACAGTACCATGTGCAGAAATATTAAGGACAGATTCTGATCTTCAGGGCTACGCAGGAGGCTACTGAGAAACACCATGTTAACGCCGTGGCTTTTGAATTTAATTTGGTGTTCAGATTCATATCAAGATCAGAATCTGGTCAGGGATTTTAAGTGTGTTTTGAGGAACAAAGGAGTTTGGTGGCCCCTGCTTAATCTTAGTTTTAGTTGGAGATTACATATCAATTTCTAGAGCTATTGTTTGGGTCAAATACCAAGGCAAATGGATTCACTCTTAAATGAGGAACGGCTTGATTATCATGCTAGCTGAAAAATAGGTCCATCCACTCCCACTGTTCAGCTGCTGTAAATGGATGTATGTAAGGATTTAGAAATGGTTGCTATTCAGATCCTTATGAGGGTAAGATGACTTTCAGCAATTGAATGATTTATGATAATGTTGATATTCACACAGGCTATTCATCTGGCAGGATAAAAGACCACAGTGGCTGGTCGGTCTCTTTCCTTGGGCACAGGCTGGTTACAGGCTGATGCTGGAAACAAGCTCGCTGGCAGGAGCGTTATCTTCCCTGCTACAAAGGGGTGAGGGCCCAGAGGAGGGGGAGTGGAAAAATACCTTCTTGTATCGGCCTTGTGTTCTCCCTTCTGCTGTAAAATCATAGTGGGACAAAGCACGGCAGTTCTACTGAGGGTATACGAGGCAGGGTCAATGCCACAGTATTAACCTTACTTAGCAAATCAGTGATAAACATAACAGATCTTGTTTCCGCAAGGAATTTTACAGCACCTTCTGGTCATGCATTACAATCTGCTGCCCTCCCTTGTATCCTCACGTTTTGACAGGGAGGAGAAGGGCTGTTTGCACCACTTGTTTGTACCCCTTAATTTCGGTGCATTTTGGAGGCCTAATTCTGGGTACCTGAATCCTTCCTAACGTCAGGAAGAGTAGGTGCACCTAAGAGAAAGAAGCAGGCCACTTGTGCTGTGAGGCCTGAGGTGGAAGAGATGAATGTTCCTGGGCTTTGGTGGTACGTGGCCAATGGCCATGTGGTCAGCCCTGCTGAAGAATTTTTGGGGTTCAGTTCTTTGCAGCTTGCCACGCAGAGGGCTGCAGGATTCAGCGGAGTAGCTTATACCTGAAGGCATGCAGTTGGCTCCCAAGGATGGTGTTCCCTGTAAGATTCACACCCCTTTTAAAGGGAACAAACACATCAGCCTTTCCAGTCACCTTTCCAGTCACTGCCAGAGCAGGCAGTTTATTTAACAAAGCTCTTAGTCACTCCTGGGGCAGGACTTGACTCCTAATTGCGTTTAGTATCTGATACGCTGTCCCGACAGCTCTCAGGGGTTGTAGAAAGGGGGCAGAAGAGGCAAGAACAACTCATTTTGTACACTCCTTACAGCTCATGAAGCACTGTAGAGGCGTCCTGCAAATGGGCAGCACTGAAATGCACTGTGGTTGGGCCCATCGTTGGCACTGGGGCAGCCTCACACCTCAGAGCACACCTCAGAGTTGCCTTCAAGGTGCTTTAATTCATACCTGACAGAAAGAAGGGACCTACAAGAATGCAAAAATCACGTTGTCCGTCTAAAACTGCAATGCCCCCCTTTTCATCCTTGCCATGCATACGCAACGAGGACTGCTGGGAACAGGGTGCTACCTTTCCACAGGTACACTGACACTTCCAGACCAGTGGCATGTTATTAATTTCTGGTGATAAGCACAAGATCTGAAAGCAAACCAGTACAGCTCACTCAAATCCCACACTGTGAGCTCCTTCCACAGCCACCAGGCACCAGCCAGGGGCAATGAGAGTCCCCGTTGCTCTTTCCCACAAGGTGACTGAGCCCATCCAGTCCGTGCCACCCTCTTGGCTTTCGCTCTGGCTGTCTGTGCCTGTGGGACATGGCCTAGCCCCTGGCTGTATTGGTTGCCTCTTCTGCAGAGATGCATTTCATGAAACAATAGGAGCTGATCGCATACAACCCCAGCACTTCCTTCCACTTGTAAATGTTTTACACGGTCAGTGGATTGAAACAAGCTGTTCAGGCTGTTCTGCTCCTTAGCTGTAGCCCTCATGTTCAAGCTTACAGGTGAGCACCTTTCCCTCCTCAGTGGTAGCTCTGGTGCTGACTGTGGAAACATCTCCCCGTCTTCAGTTTGTTCCAGGCAGATAAGGGAGCTTCAGTGACAGACGTAGCTCTGTTATTTATCTAGGCATGCCTCAGTCTTTTCCCAAAGACTTTATGAAATGAATCTCTGAATGATCAGTGGCATAAGCATGTGACTCCAAGTCACTGGACAGAAAACAATTTAAAAAAGCACGCACTAAAGAAGCAAGTCTGAAAGATTATGTGGTGTTAGAAAGCACTCAATTTAGAAAAGTGCCTAGCTCGCGAGTGAATACCATGTCATAAGGCAATATTGCAGCATTCCTCAAGGGTAATGGACAGAAATAAGTTCTGCTTTTGTTTGTGACAAATATGGATGATGCTGTGCTGAAAGTAAACACGTTCAGATGCAGGTTCAAATCCCTGTGCCCTGTTATTTTTTTCCCTGACTGCTTGACCCCAGTATCAGTAGGCTATCTTGACTCATCCTCTTGTACAATTCTACTTTCAGGTTCCCTGGTCTTAGTTTGACATTCATGCCTTTCAGCACCTTCCCTGAAAATTGTCTCAATTCAGGCATCGGCATCCAAGTTTGCAGGATCATTGTCATTTCCCAGAGGTAGATAAAATGTTTCTATCTTTGAGACTGAAAATTTGGTGTCTCAAAATTGATCTGTTACCATCATATAACTAAGTTTATTTTGAGAAATGGTGGAATAAGACTTGCTCTCATGTTGATATCTAGTAGCACTTGTTTTCTGTCTCTCTGTTTTCTGCGGAGCTGGTTTAGGGCATAATGTGCCACTGAAGGTCAAAAGGTAACAAACTGTGGTGAGTTATTCCTTTTGCATCCTTCCTTTTGTTTTAGAAAGTTCATTCTCACCTTTCAATGACTACGTGGATTTTTCAGTTTTTACTGGTAGGATCTAGATCCGTTCTCTTTAGTGGGTACAAGATCCCATAGGAGACTCCTTGAACTTTGTTAACCATTCTTAATCAGAATTACAGCTTTTCAGTGAATTCTCTTTGATACTTTGCCAGATTCTCTCACCAGCTGTTTCCCTCCCACCACTATATAGCTTATGCCACTATACAGTTCATGGGCACAGATTCAGAACAGATATGAGTAAAATGAGCAAAGATGGTTATCTTTCCTGTAATAAATTGAACAGAATTGGTCCCTTTTATGGGACTTAGTGTCATTTGATATACAGTCCTTGGCACTGGGAGCATTACCAAGAAACGCCAGGTCACTTCTCATTTATTTGCAAGAGCAATCAGAGTAGCCAGCAGAATTCACTTTAGACTTTCTATTCATTCCTTGCTTTGCTGCTGTTACATGATTGCATGGAAGATTTGTATGGTTTATATTTTTTTTCAAAAGCATTCTAATCTTCCCCATGCTGCTAAAATGAAATCCCAAATGTCTTTGGCAAGATGAAATCTATCACATTCTAAAACTTCCATGTACTGTTTGGTTTCTTTGGACCAGTACAAAGACCCCAAATATTAGCTGAATTGTCCTGTAAACTTTGAGAGAAGACCCTCTATTCTAAGCCAGGAGAGTCTTTCTCATAACAGTACAGGTTTTCCTTTATGCAGGGTGCTTTTCACAAAGGTGCCTGTTTTCTGACCGTGAGGTAGAATTATTATCTGCAGATTCAGAACCTGTCTGATGCTCCATCCTCTCTGGAGAAAAATAAAAAATATATATATAAAAAAAAAAAAAAAAAAAAAGAAATTCTATTCCAGTTGAACTCAGTTGAACTAAATCCAAATATATTTAATGAATAATAATAAAAAGGGCAAACCTAACCACAACCAGACAAATCTCCTCACAAACCTGAAATCTCTTGTCTGTTTGAATCCTCCCTGGCTAAAATTGGATGGGTTTCTGGCAGAGACTTTCCAGAGTATGCTCAGCTCTGCAGCAGTAATCACACCAGCTTCTTCAGCCTGATTCCTTTGACATCTCTGCTAGTTTTGCATTTCATAAAGGCACGGAGGAAGCCAAACGTGACCTTGGTGCACTTTTATAAGCAGCATGTCAACAAAACAAAAAAAGAAAGAGAAAACCATTCCCAATTCAGTGGAGATCTGCAACATTTCTGTGAAAGTGCTGTGCATTAGCAGAGGAGTGATGGTCTCATGCAAATCACTGCAGGCTCCAACAGGAACTTGCTGCTGTTGTGTTCTGGCTCTCAACAAGTTTAATTCTAACAAAGTAGGAGTTGCTTTTCATCATTTGCTGACCTTCACTACTAGGCTGTGGGGCTCTGCCCTCATATTTGAGGGAAAGAAGCCCTCATGTTGGCTTCAGTGGTTGTCTTTCATGATGAAACATCTTCAGCCTAATATCTTTTATTGGCAGCAACTGAAGTCAGATGCTTAAATCTCATACGGAGACTGAATATTTGCAGAAAGGGGTTCTGTCCAACTGCCTCGTGTATTCAGACATGCCTGAGTGACCCCAAACATATTTCTCCTCTGTCTTCTCTACTGATCTTAAGCAACTTGATCCCCTTCAGCTGCATGGACGGTGGTAGGTCCTTTCAGATGCTCATATTAACTGGTCCCCATTGGATGTGAGAGTTATTTTGTTTTTTTTTCAAGGCAGGTATGAAGGCTAGCTGCTCCCAGGTGCTGTCGGTACTCTAGCTCCCACTTTACATTCCTCACATTCCATCCTGGTGTGTCTAGGCAGATATCTCTTGGCTGTTTAAATTGAAAAATAGTAACATTGAAGTAAGTACACTGGGGTCAAACAGAAAGTCAAGCAACTGCTTTGAGCTTAGACTAAGAGAACAAAGTGAGAGATTCTATGGACAGCAAAGTTAAAGGAACTGGCCTTTAATGCAGTAGTGCAGGAGCAGAATGAGCCCTACAGAGAGACAAATAGGCTGAGCACAGACATGATGTGAAAATATGAGAAACAGCTAGTTGAGAAGTTCCCAATAATTTTAACCTCGAGGAATTCCAAAGCAGTATTAGCTGTAGCACATCCAAACTGCAAATGCTCTGAGAGTTTAGCATTTTTGGTAGCGTTTTAAAAATCCTTGTCTGCTTTGCCATTGTGTTTTCCCACCCTTTAACCAGAGAGCAAAGATGACGGAGCGGAGCTAGAAATCTGAATATTAAATACTTCACTAACCACACATTCTCCATGACCATAAAGAGAGGCAAACTGATGTGAAGAGAAGAGGCCATTAGAGTTCATCCAATAGCATGCATGTGAGAGGCAGTCAGGAGACACGGTGTAGTAAATGAAACCATGTTACTGTATAAGGAAAGATTTGGGTATAGTACCCATTACATCCGAATGGTCATATTGTGCAAGTATAGAAAACAAGGATTTTTCCAGACTTCACAGAGAAGCAAAATCCCTGCTTCATCTAGGCATAACTGAACTGTGCAGCCAAGTGCATTAATGCCACACCAGGTCAGTCGGGTTATAATTGTCTCTAACCAGAACAGTCAAAAGTTACAGAGTTCACTTTCTGCTGGGTGAGTGACACCCAGAAATTCTTTCCAGACTTACAAACAAGCAAAGAGACAAGTTTGAACCTGAACTTCAGTGTAATCACGCCACTCAGCAGCATAAACAAACATGGCATCGATTGGAAAATTATTCTTCAGGCGTCAGTTTTGACTGATCCAGATGAGAAGTTTCCAAAGTTAGGGTCGTGCCCCGTGGAGTGCTGATGGAAGAGAGGTCACAAGCCCGGAAACGAGGTTGCGAGCTGAAAAGCTTGGGAACTGCTGATCTAGACAGATGAATGGTCATGTCAAGGGGGTCCCTTAGAATATCCTTTTTCCTCTCTCCTGCTTCACAGGCAGTGACTTGAGTGAGTTTTAAATCTGACAAGACTGGCCTGTTTATAGCATGCTGCTGTATTTTTAAAAGTAGATCTCTGGAAATGAGTCCAAGATGACCAGGGAGATGGAAGCAAGGGAGGCTCTTGAGGGAAGGATGTGGGACAAAGAAGTGGAGTAGAGGCAGGTCTGTGGGAAACAGGATCTGCCAAGTAAAACAAGATTCAACAGTGTTGAGCCGAAGAGATGGAAGCTTTTTAAGGTTGTAAGAAAGCTTGAGAGTCTAACTTGGAAGGTCAAATTAATCTCCCAAGAGGTTGGAGGGACATAGCTTTACTCCTCTGTGAGGAGTCTGGGCTGCTGAATTGTATTCCTTAACGTGAAAGCAAACCTAATTTTTGGTGCAATTAATGTTTGGCCAGAATAAGGTATGTACAGCTGATGCATATAGAGAAATAAGGCAGTGCATCTTTGAGTCTCTGAATGGCCTTCTTTACTATCCTTGTGTTTCAAAAACTACCAAAGCTAGGCCCTGAATTTATGTATGTTAAAAGAGAACCACTGTTACCGGGAACTTCTGCAGGCTACTTTATAATATTCATAGTATGAAAAAGGTGGAAAATACAAGTAGACCAGAAAATTAGCATTGCTTATACTACTAATTCTGTTTTGTCACTGTTAAACATAAAAAAAGAATACAGCTTTAGCAGTGTTTGGTAAAAGTCTGTGAACATTGAATATTGGTGATTCTTTGTGCCAGCAGCAGTAAGTGGTTGTCCGTGGTGTAGGTGCTCAGCCCAGGGACTCAGAGAACCACCCGGTGAGCATTGGGTTGCTGTCAATACTCCAATGTTGGGGTTTCAGCAGTCCAAGTCCCCTTGCAGCCATGCCTCTGAGGTTTGAGGGAACCTGCTGAACTCTCTCCTGAGCATCACAGAAAACAAACAGAGCACCTGCAAGTCATGTGGGCTTTTACAATACTGAATTAGCGTCAGTACGAGAGGAGTGTCAGCACCATGCAATGGATATCTTGAACAATGTCTATAGCACCCTATTTGCTATCCAAGGGCATGGAGGAGGAAAGCAATAGATTTGGGGCAATTAGGAGGGAGTATAGCAACAGCGCAGGTTCAATCAGGGACGGGAAATAGGTCTGGAGGTTAATAAGACAACACAGGTCATCATCATAAAGCAAATATCAGGTCTGTGTGGTGCAATACCTAGCTGTGGCTACGTGCTAGGAACAATGCGGAGGTAAAGTCAGTAATGTCGTGTGGTATTTATTTAGTAGCATTATGCTGAGAGGAATTAATGGCCAGGGAGGTCTTTGCATCGCGCTGCAGCTGGGGGGTTTCCTGGGTGCTGTCTTCCAGGCTCTAGGACGGAGCCGGTGGGTCCCATTCCAGCACTGAGTGCAGCGCCGTGAGCCGGTGCTGGAGGTACTAGGCTGCAGGGCAAGGCGGAGCCAAGTTTCCTGGTTATCCCAATTCCTGTTACAGGGACTAAAATATTGACCTGGAGCCACAGGTGCTGGAGAGAGAGGAAGCCAGGAGAAGGTATTGTGTCCAAGCCCCTGAGAGCAAGCAAAGGCAGGCCTTTGTGAGCCTTAACCCCACCGGTGGGGTGGGCTTAGGGATTTCTGAGCAAGGAAACTCTCTGCTGCTGATTGTTTCTAGCAAGATAAAGACTCCGTGAGCCTTTTTGTGATTAAACGAACTTACGCCAAGCCTGTACCTGTTTTGAACCACTAATCCTGTACAGCGTCAAATAGCAGCTAATTGGTCAAGCGAGTGATGCCTAACCTTCAGGCCTCCGTGTCAAGGGCCATGGAAGCTTTGCTTTTTTCAGGATGCTCCAGACTGAATTTGTAGGTAAGACCCAATTAAGACTTATATATGCGTATCTCTCAAGTGCAGGAATAGTTTTACTGAAGCCATAGAGATCATTCATATATAAAGTTACAGGCGTGTTTCAGACATGACCAGATTGGTGCAGAACCAGCCCTTATCTCCTGTTCTGGTGATCCAGTCTGGACTGGTCTCTACAAGTTTCTCTTCAGAGTTTAAACCAAGCCTTTGGTTTGAGAAATGTGAGGTTTTATTTTCATAATTACCTTTAGTTTTGGAGCTGCCCTTGAGGCTATTTGGAATCCATTGAAACACATTGAACTCTAAATCGGAGGTTTCTTTATTTCATGTCAAATGCGCAAATGCCAAATATTAGATTTTTTGCCCCAGTTGTGTGGATGTTTAACTTCCAAAGCATAGTATTTTCTTGTAAGAAACTGATAACTGGTATTTAATGCTGTACTCAGAATTTATCATTTCAGCTCGGCTGATTTTACACATCAAATCATATGACTTTAGTTTCCAAAGTATTTCCCCATATACCTTTTCCAGTCTGCAGAATAACTTATGAGGAAAATTATGCTGTCTGTAAACATTTCAAGATACATGGCATCCTCTTTGCAGGGGAAGTTTTCTAGAGGCCTGGCAGGAATTTTTGATTCTCATATGCAGTTTAAATATTCCAATTCTTAATTTTTTCTATTACTGCAGATTATAGAGTTCATCTCTGTAGTGCCACCCTTAAAATAAACTGTTCACATGTCGTTTGTCGATAAATAACATAAGGGCTCATTCCTACCTTCCTAATGGAGCTCCTAGATACTGAAGGGAACTTTTCTTGGACAAAATATGTGTTCTGCCTACCCAAAATCTGTAAGTCTTTGGAATAAGTCCTTTACATGAAACGTAATGCTCCCATGTGAAAGCCAGGTATGATAAAAAAAAAAAAAAAAAAGAGAGAGAGATTAAAAAACATGGGAAAAAGAAAATAAACAAGAGGCTCTTCTTGCTGCAGGCTATTAGGGAGTATAGCTGTAGAAACAGACAGATGATTTCATCTAATGAAGCACCTTCGGAGTATGTGTTCTACCTGTAAACAGAAGACATTTTTTTATATATTTCAGTATTAACAGGGCGTCTTCTAAGGAGCTGTGACCTTTAATCTCATTATGTATGGATTTGTGTATGTGAACGTGACATATGAATTTGTTACCAAGATACTATTTGAAGCAAACATCCTAGGGCCTTCCAAGTTGGCAAGCTGATGCAAATTTCTGAGTCACCTCAGCTGAAAACATTATTTTTTATTTCTACAACATTTTGGGATGCAAAGGGAACATCAGCCATCTTATCTGACTGATGCTATCAGGTGCTTTCCGTTAAATTTCCTAATATATATTCTAGAGACAGCCAAACACACACATAAGTCTGGATATGAATGGCACTGAAATTAAGCAGAATTTATTCTAATTTATCAGAAAGGTGGAGCAGCTCAGCTAACTACAGCAATTGATCTATAGCAGGATAAGGTCTCAACAAGTTCTTTCAGGCTTCAATTAGTTTGCATCATCTCATTCGTTGCATTCCTGATCTCTCTTCCTTCCTCTTCTCATGTTGTCATCTATTCTTAGTTTATACAAACACGTACTGCTACATAGAGACTTCTCTGCCACAGCTGGACCAGTGGTTGAACCAGGCAGACTCCTGGCAGATCCAAGCATGGACAAGAATCTCAACACAGAGACCATTTACAAAATGGTCTGGGTGGGGTCTAACATTATAGTTTCTCTTGAATTGTTTTTCCCTTATTTCTAATCCTATATAACAGTGACTATTAATTAACAATCTGTTAGCTATTTCTGAGAGCTATTCTGGAACATGGCCTTTAATAATAGGGAATTGAAAAACGGCAGGGGAGTGACTTCCAGCCCTGCATTCCTTCAAAGAATCCTTTAACAATGCACAGTATTTCTCGGTGCTGCACAATATCTATTTCTGAATTCCAGCTGCAGCTAAGGCTTTCTTTTTGTTCCTGGTGGAGTTGCCGGCATTGTTTCATCTAATGGGGGAGTATATTCCAAGAAGAAAAGACCCACAAAAGTGTGTTTGAAGTATTTTCACCTAATCTGAAGCATGATTTTTCAAGATCTTTCAGAGTGCCTGTAGCATAGACAGCTACATTGTTAATGACACTTTACTAACAACATACCAGATCCCTGTAGCTCTAATATAATAAATGGATTGTAGATCCCACTCTCAGCGCAGATATAATTAGCAGGATTTATTTCATTCTCCTTATAAAGACTGAGTCAGTTCCCCCATGCTCTGAGCATGCTGAAATTCTCAGAGAAAATGCAGCTGAGTGCATTTATTATCACTGGAGTTAAGTAATTTTTTGTTGTTGATGCCAATGTCATCATAAATAATGAAACTTAAGAAATTTCATACCTTCGTGCCAGTGCATCCAAGCTTTATAAAGGCTGTCAGTGGCCAAGAAGTGCATTTTTAAAGTTTAGCATAAATTAAGGATTATTTACATAAATACCAATTTTTATAGGGCAAAAAATTTACTGTGAAGCACCTCACGTATATTTTCAGGCAATCAGAAAGTGAAATTTTGGTATGTGTTTACAAGAAGGGGAAACTAAACTTCAGGAAGTCACATGATTTCCAGTAACAGCCCATATATAGACATGTAGATGATGAAAGCATTAAAAAAACCTACCAGCAGGTATTATCTCTGTGTAGCCATGCTCTCAGATGTATGGCATAAGGCTCCTTCCCCCCCCCCCCCGTTCCAAGAATTTATATCACCAGATATTTCGGAGAATTCACAGTTCCAAACTGAATGTGCAGTGGGTGATACAGCTTCCCTGGAAGCTCAGAGTGACAGTGTCCAGTGGAAAGAAAAGTACAACCCCTTGAGTACCTGACTGTCAATAGCTAAGTAAATAAATCCCAGGCAAATAATAGTGGTACTAGAGGGAAGAATTTTATCCAAATCAGAAAGCAGAAGCCAAAAAAGGAGGGGTCTACTGTTAGCTAATAATTCATAGGTGGGCCTTTTCTACCAACTCTTCCCAAATGACTACAAGCTCTGCTTTTTCCATCTCCCATAGAGAATGTTATGGTTAAGAAGAGAGATCTTGAAGTGATGTGACATGACCATGTCATTGGATAAATAATGTAAAAATAAACTTCTTGTTAATTTTGTTTGCATGGGTTGAGGTCCTTGTTCACCTCCAATAAAACAAGCTAATTCCCCAGGTCTGGAGTATTCCCGGTGCCTCATCGGACTCTTCCAAGCTCTGAGTCAGATCTTTATTTCCCTTCCTTGCTCCTCAGATGTGTGTGTTCTCTATCCCTCTGGATACCCATGAATGCAGTAAAGAAAAGGTGTTTGCACAGCTCAGGGTAACTTATCCCTTTGCTGACTCCCTGGGCTATGGTTAAAGGAGAGTTCAGAAATTGGGAACAGAATTATTACATTAGATACAGTCCAAAAGTTCCATGTATTTTTCCTTCAGAGAAGGAAGCTGAGCTAAGTTGCAATAAAAGAAATTGTGGGATTTTCGGAAGAGAGTAGATGGCATAAGGAGAAAGCAATGTGTTGCAAGTGGGTAGATCCATCCCATGGGTACCATATGTTTTGAAATCCTTGCGGTTTGGATAGTGACCAGTTAGTTTCTTAGCCAGAGGCTGCCAGCTCCACCCCAGTGAGCAAGGAGTTCCTGCTGCCACAGAGCCCCAAAAGTGCCTTCGCACCCTGGAAGCCCCTCTGTCGCTTATCGACACAGCAAACAAACAAGGACCTCTGCAACAGGATGTTTGCAAAGAGAACTGGAACTCACTGCTTGCTGCCTGTACCCTGCTTTTCTGCAGGCAGCTACTTGAATATATTTCTGCATCACCGAACTCGACCAAAATTCATGTTTGAAGTACAGATTTCCTCCAGACAAACCTTGTGCTGCTGAACTCTGTGGAGGAGGGAGCCTGGCCTGTGTAGAGGTGTCAGCGCTGACTGCAGGATGCAGAATACGATCTGTAATACAGAGGTCTGGAAGATAGAAACTTTGTGTGATGAGGCCTTTCTGTTCCTATAATTAAGATATTTGCACGGTTGAGCTCCTGCTTTCATAATCCACCCCTGTGATGACTACCAAAACCACTCCTTCAGAGAAGGTCTGCAGCCAGTTATCCAGATAATGAAGAAGGGCAGGGAGAGGGAGGGGGAAGATTAGCCACAGTTAATAGAAAACATATGTCAGTAAGCCTGTGACTATTCAGTGTGTTCATCTTTTAAAATGTGGTAAGTGCATTTCCTTAGAGCACAGGGATAACCTTAGGCACCAGGAAACAGCTCGCAGTTGTGTTGTGTCTGTCATAGCTGTGGTGCAGTCGAGGCTGTAAGGGGAAGGCCAGTGGGTTGATCCAGTACCCAGATAATCCATCTGTGGATAATCAACCACTGACTACGTTCAGGATATGATTTTGCTCTTTTCTTCATTAAAGCATCTGTTGTCAACAGGCATAATCAAAAGTGCTGCCACGTTGATGTTCTTGCGTATTCTAATTACGAACTGGACTTGGAGGCGGTCTTAAGATCAGTTAAATTATATAATGTAACATAGTGTATTTTTTTTAATATAAAATGTATGGGTAATGTTGACCAGGAAGTGGAGAGACTGTACAGAATTCTGTACAGTGCATGGAAATACAGCTCATAGTCATCTTTTGAAGATTACTCAACTTCAGTGGAAAACACTTAGCTTCCTACAACTAGAGGCATTCCTCTGCTGCAACTGAATCTTACTTTTTATATTGTCTCTATTATTCTTTCTAGAGAGAATATAGAGAGAAGGATAAAATATCCTATAGTGGCCCCTACATCTCAAGAGTCCTTAATGCTATGAGTCGTTCATGATGGGTAACTTTTTAAGTGTTTCTGGAGGAGCTTCACAGTTCACTTTACAACTGTGTGTTGGCTTTAGGACTTTATTTTCCACAAGTTGAAGTCTCTCACACTTGAAGATGCCGACGCTTCAAGAAGCACTCAGCAGCACCTTCAGGATCAGTCCCTTCCTGCCTGATGCCAGTGGAAGTTTCACCCTTGATTTCAAAAGGCTCCTGATTAGGCCTGAGGACTGTGGTCCTTTCTTTCCTTCATCCCTTTGCACAGTTAATGCGCTTATACTTACATAAGGTATGCCGAGCTTGTGCGAGGGGGGATTCATGCCACACGTGACAGGAGCTTTGTCCCAAAGTGCTGACGCCCTAAGTTTAGATTTGGCTCAATGAGGGCAAGTAATAAAGAAAATATATAATGGCAGTGAGATCAAGGGTTACTCGGGTTTAGTAGTTGAATGTCCTGATGGCCACGCTGATTGGAGTGACTCACCAGCTGCAAGCTGAAAGGAAGAAGTGGGGCATCAGAAGGATGTGGCTGTGTGGAGACCTGGTGAGCAGAGATTAGGAGGACAGTTCATGCCCAGAGAATAGCTTGTCCACTAATTTCATTGTTTTAAGCATTTAAGGCAGACAGGGCTAATCACTAACAAAGATGCCCAAGGGAGCAATGTTGTATCAGTTATCTTCCTGAGAGTTTGACTGTTTTGGTTCTATTTATTCTAGACAAAAGAGCTTATTTGTGATGTTTCATCTTTAGTCTGAATGTCTCTAATTTGGACATCCATTTAATTTGGAAGGTTTCCACCCGACACCAGTGAGACTGATTATTATAACCAAACGTCTTTCTCGCTCCATGTTGCTGACCGCAGCTTTGGTTATGAATTGTGAAAGAATGTTAAAATCCAGTGTATTTTTCTCTTTGTGGGCTCTGTTTATTTTTATTTTTAACATTTTGATTGGGCAATGAAAAATGTCAGTGATGCCAGTTGCAAGTCTTTAGGTACAAATTTGCCTTTCAGCCATTGCATGGGAGTGATTATTTGCTTTTAAAAACTGACATCTGGGGATTTTTAGTTCCTTAAGTCTCTGGAAAAATATGGCATTGCACAAAAGCCTGCAGTTTGAAAGGTAGAAGCAGGGCCAATAAGGGGACAGCAACATTTTTTTTATGTCTCTAACTTCCAGAGAGCAGTAGCAACAAGCTGAGCAGAGGTTGAAGGAAGCAGCATTATTACTGCTGTTCCCCCTTGAATTCCTTTCATCAGTCCGGTGACTACATGTGTCCTGATGATACATTTCTGGGTCACATGTCCCTGAAAGATGGTCTATATGGAGACGCATAGCATGGAAAGTATGCTAACTAGAGACTAGTTATGTTGACAGGTTCCACAAGTGACGTAAATTTCTATATTCCTCACACGGACTTTATTAATAGCACAGGACTGAGTCAGGGAGAGCCAGTTATTATTCTTTATGTAAATAAATCAACAGAAATAAATACTCTCTTGTTCCTTATCGTATTAAACCTGCAAATAGCTTATTACCTTACAAGGCAGCTTAGGCAAGCACACCAGACCACAGGGAAACGCAGATCAAGTGCAAGTCAGCACTGAGATTTCCCCAAGCCAGGCTACGTGGCCATAGGAGAGGAGCAAAGGCACAAGGCTGCAGCTCACAGAGCCCAGAACTGGAGAAAGGAGGCCCAGATAATTATTTCAAAAGCCAGTCTCAAGCGTAACCAAACTGAATTCTTGTTTTGTTTTTGGTCCAATGGAAACTTTGCAATGGAAAAGTCAGATAGATTTTTTTTTCCTTGGCTCTGTCATCAGAGATGTTGCTGTTTTTCCCAGTCAACTTTCTCCAGTTTTTCCTAGTCAACTTTTCTCCTCTTTTTCCCAGTCAACTTTTCTCAGTGGGATCTGAATTACCCTTTCTGCAGGATACTGCTCCAGTTAGGAGGTTGGAGGGAGAAAATTCTGTAACCGTAGGGTGTTCGTACTCAGATTCTTTTCAGGATCATCAGCCACTTCCATGAGGGAGTAATTCTTTCTAGTAGTAGTAGCAAAATGTTGCCCTGGTGTATGAGTTAAATATAGCTGGAGGCACAAAGCGAAGAGTTAGAGATTGCATATCCAGTTCTCTGTGTTCCCACTAACAGGAAAAACAGAAATGCATCTAGAGAGGCTCAATCCAAGTATTAGTGTCTCCTTCCAAACACTGAATAAAAACACCTGGATGGAAAGGGCTTTTATTAGTTGGGGCTCATCTGTATTAATCACAACCAATTCATTTTCCCTTCAGCAATGTGGAGAAGTATGGAAAGGCCGTTGCAGTTTGACAGAGAATGAAGGTGTTGCTCACCTGTGATGAGTATGAACTAAACTCAGAATATCCAAATATTCAGAGCCTAGGCCATGCTCTGAGCTCATCTTTGATAAATTTAAAAAGGGGATGCATTTTTACAGGTTCACTCTAAGAAAGAAAGATTTGTCATGTGTAAAATTCAGAACATTCCTCTGTGCTCTTCCATTCATATGATGGAAATAAATTAGAAAAATGGTGTTTATGTATTAAGCAGGATATGGCAACAGGACTATTGCATTTATATCTGCTCTGTCAGCAAGGAATTCATCATAAATGCATCAGGCCAATGTGGTTTTCAGCCGTGCTTATGAGGATGATTTACCTCCTGTGCAATCAAAATAAAGACACATTAGTGGCTAGCAATATTTACAAAGTCTTCCAAGCTGACAAGTTTTAGCTGTAAGGGAGGAATGAATTTTAAATTCTACTCATTTCTTTTCCTCTATGTCTCAGTTAAACACTTCACATTAAATTCCTGAAAATTTTCCTGCTGCTGTTACTTGTAATGGTCCAGAAATGTCAGGGTATCCTTGAAGTGGAGCACTCTTCTCCAAGGCACTTTACATGGCTTAATTAGTGCAGCTATTTCTTTCCCCATGCATCCTCTGAGGGATTTCTTTATGCCAGATGCTTCCTAGGTATTGAGAATCAGAGCCAGAGGTCAACTGATGAGCTGCTGATTGCTCAGGCTGAATGTGATTTAATGCAACAGTTTGTATGAGCAGTTTGCAAAACCCCTCTGGGTAGTGTACGTGCAGGGGTGTTCTTGCATGCATGCATCCAAGTCTCTGTTCAGTGTCACAGATGTGCATTAAAGGACTTGGCGTGGCTGAAGGTCGTCATCACAAGACCTCTGCAGCTATCTTTATAACATTTTCTTCACTCTGCTGTAGCAGGCAAGAAGCTTTAAAACTGATAAAAATTAGCTTTTTTTCTTTTTTCCTTTTTCCTAAGCAGCAATGAAGGATGTCCCTAGTGTTTTCAACCAGCTTTATCGTCTTGAATCCCAAACCTCGGCTGTATAATTGTTATAGTTGGGCAGTGTAGCAAATGTTAATCATTTTAAGGCCTGGAGCCAGTTCATGTCTCAAAGTCACTGGTTGAATGTTTTTTTGTCCTAAGCAGAATTAGTTCTGATTCTGGCTAGTGATATGTCATTAATGTGAATCCTCTAAAATGTTTACCCATTAAAAGTGAGACTTAACCCTGAGATAACAGAAATAATTCAAACTAGCCTAAAAATAAAAATTCAGTTCAGAATATGGTGATGTCTCTTACCAAATCTCTTCTGAACATAGCCATTATGTGAATGTCAGCTGCAGGACTGCATTTCATACTGGGATTTTCCACTTGGCCTTTATTCCTTACCAGTCTGATAATGGGATGAAAAGTGGACTTGAGGAATGCGGTTCAAAGGATTTGCACTATTGATCTTGTGTCCCAAGCCTGGCTATGTAATGCATTGTAAGGACATTTGAAGATACCATAAAATGGAGACAGCACATGCAAGGCCATGAAACAAGATAACAGAGCTTAAATGTGGGACAACTGAGGAGGAGGAGGCAGGCAAAAGGCAGTTAAGAGGTGGAATACAGTCATAGGATGCTGTAAGAAACAATGACAGTCCTGACAACACTGCTATGGGCTTTCTTCCTCTGTCTGCCTGTGATGGTCTTGCCAAGTTAAATTTTTTAATGGGCTTATTTCTGTCCCTGAAAAGATGGGGATACATTTTTAAAGTCTGGATAACAATTCTGAACTCTAAAGGAGTAAGAAATCACTCAAGTAAAAAAAAAAAAAAAAAAAAAAAAAAAAAAAAAAAAAAAATTAAAATAAATAGCAATGGTAGAAAAATCTGTCTACATTGCTGCATCTTATTTTATGAGAAAGGACGGGAAGATGTAGATAGTATCCGAGTGCTACTGCAGTAGTGTACACTGAAATTCAGGCTCACGTAGCTGAACAGAAATTGGTCCATGTTTATTGCTGTGTTTGGTGCAGACACTGAAATACAGAAGCTCTGTGAAGAACAGACATGTCTTGGGTGCTGTTAGTCGGTGTATTTTACACTGCACATAACAATGCAGTAAAACATTGTTACTGGCAAACATCATATTCAAAAAATATCCCCTTTCAAAGAAATTTAATCTTTCTTACATGGGTGCTATAGACTACCCCTTTTTACCAAAGGAAACCTGATAGCCATGCGTTTCAATTTAGATTCAAGATACCACATAGTCTCTCCATCTGCCTGCATTGTCTGTTCACAGCAGCTTTCCCTTTATCAGATCCCACATATACGTGCTGTAGGACCCCAAAAGTTGCAGTGCTTTTGAATCCTTTTTTATTTAGTCTGCTTCCTATCTGTGTTCTACACGTGTTCCTGTTGAGCTGCCTCAAACAGCTCATGGCACTTCTCAGCTGCTGTGCATTTAGGGATTTCAAAGTCCTTCCTGGCCCTAGTGAAGGTAAGAGACGTTTTGTGGCTTCGTCATCAGGTCAAACTCTGGAGGAAAAAGCAGGGAAGAACTTGTTCCACTGCCTTCATTGTATATATTGACAAATTAAGGTTTACACATGGCAACGTTTTGACCAAGTAATAAGGAAGTAACCTAGAAAACACCCAGGAAATTCTCCACGTGCAATAAAATAATAAAATTCAAGTCTGAGTCTTCATCCCATGAGCTGTCTGCAGGACCTCCCTACACTTCTTGGGTGTACGCAGAGCTGGGTTTGTCCCATAATGCTATTTGCAAAGATCGATTTTTAAAACAGCCCTTTGGGTGAGTTTATGAGGAAAGGCAATTGCTCCTGTGCCGGGAGTTTTGTTTTGGACAGGCTCTGGGCTGCTGTCTGACGTGGTGGCGTTACGTGCAGCGCGGGTGAAGGCGGGTGCGGCTGCGGCCTGCGCTGCCTGGGCCCTGCCGCGGCTTGTCGGGAGGCTTGTTGCCATTCCTACCCGCTTCTCTCTGTGGTCTCCTTCTGACACAACACCAGCTGTAAGCCGTGGTTCTGTTATGTAATTCATTTAGGAGCGAAAACTCGCTCATAAGTTTATGGTCTTGCTCTCCCTGAGACAACCCAAGTGATGCGGCCGGATGGCGGGGAGAAGGGAAATTTCCCCAGGCAAAGGGAATACTTATCTGCCGGGGCCTGCTATTGAAAAACGGATCTCTGCTCACATAAGCAGGAAAAAGACATTGAGGCTTATTTGTATTTCTGCCCCTGAGCACAAAGGGGCTAGAAAGCAGGCGTCTCCCACCGATTGTGTGTTCCTCCTGTTTGGAGATGTAATCGGAGTCCACACACTGGGCCACAGCCTTTCCTCAGCTCCAGGGGTTGGGGCTGGGAAGGGTGTGCAGGGGCAGAGGACGGGCCCCGGCACAGCATCTCTCCCCCATCTGACATGCAGCTCAGAGCTAGCAGCAATGTTCCTGGGGGAGGGAAGAAAACAGATTCACCCTGTTCACTCAATCCCAACTCACCAACGAGAGAAACAGGCTCTCTGTAAACAGTACAAATGAAACGGATGTTTCGCTCTGCTACTGATAAGTTTATCAGCAAAGCCAACGTGCACTTCAGACCCCTAGGAAAATATAGAAGTTGAGGGTCCTCAGCTAACCCCCAGCTTGCCACACCCTGGGTGTCAGTGTTTATGCTTTGGGACATGCCGGTCATGGCTCCAGTCACGGTGACACCAAGGCTGGGACGCTGGCACTGTAACCACAAGGCCCAATCTTACCTTAGCTGTTGTTAAGTGCTATTGCAGCGTATGGAAAGGGACTGCAAAGGTGCTAGGGAAGATGAGAACAGTTGCTTGTGGGGAGCATCGTGGCAAGGCCGTACTGGATTTGGGGTGTGATGTGAGGCAGTGGCCTCTCCAGCTGGTATTGTCCGTGAATAGACCATTGTCCTTTGCAAGGAAGGAAAGAAAACCCTGCCTCGTCTGCAGGGGCACGGAGCCAGTATTGCCTCACCCAGGGCTCAGCCTCCAGCTTGGAGGTCTCACAGCTCCCAAATGCCTCACCCACGTTGCCTCAAACTCCTGCTCTAGCATCCTGTTACACACAGGGCGTTTTGACCAGCTGGATTTTGTTCCCTGCAAGTGAGTGGCTGGGAAGTAGGTGTGTTCCACGGAGCTTATAATAGAAAGCTTGCTTTAACCTCCATGATAGAGAGATTAGCACCATTCCAGAATGATATAGTACATGTTTTTTTAAGGGTCCAAAGGTAATTCCTGTTTACAGAACTACTATCTGCAGAGCTGAAAGAGCCTAGTAGCATTCACGCTAGGGCAGCGGCTGTCAGGACACGGAGATTCCTTCCCCTTTGCTTCTTTTTCAGGTGGACTCTTGCCCTGCTGAGGGAGAACTTGAAATGCCCTATGGTTGGCTGACCTGGGCTGTTGTGGTTGTGCAAAATCACACTGCTCGTCTCTGCGATGAGAGAATGAGGAAATTCTTACACCTACTCCTGCTCTCCACCACGTGCCATCTCCTCTAGTTTATGAGGATGCCAGTCTTACCAAAGGTCATTTTGAAACCCCAGCAGAGCTTCTCTGAGGTGATTTTTTACATCTTGGAATTTTTGAAGTTTCTAAAAGAAACTCTTTGGCTGAGATCCACATGAAGTTTGCTAATCCTTATAAAAAAAAAAAAAAAGTCATTGACAGTGAAGTTCTGTTTGCAACAATCTCAGACTTCCTTTGGTTATTCGTCTCTGCAAATGCAGTCTCAAATACGTTGATCCACAGTGGTCCAGCCTGCTACTCCTGGTTGTATTCTCATGCCCAGCACTGTTGCCATTATCAGTGTGCAGACACCAAGAACTGGGCCTGTGGTTCTGCTCCCACCAAGCCTGCTTTTTCAAGAAGTATGAAAGACCAAAAGCACACTGAACAAAGACCATGTCCATCTGCTAATCAGCCTTTGCATTTTTAGTTTTTCTGAAAACCAAAAAGTACAAGATCTACCTTTCTGTGTAGATATATTCTTGCATCTATGAGGAGTTTCGTGTAAGTCAGTCATCTGAGCCTTGGTGAGCCAGTGGAAAGTCAGAAGTGGCATCAGCCTGGAGTTCCCTGTCCATTTACTGGTGCGGTCCTGGAGAGAAAACACGCAAAGGTCATAAACCCAATGAAGTAAATTCATCATTTCACTGATGGTTGGATTTGCCCGACTCTGGTGTATTATTACTTGCCTTCCACATGTTAATTTTTTTCACCACTTCTTGACCGATACCCTGTTGAAAATGTTTGTTTTTCATCCCTCACGACAGATGAAAATTTAAGGTGCATTTTGGAAAAGTAGCCCTTAATACACTTTTGTGTTTTCTTTAATAATTACATAGTCTGGCACTCACTGGCCCATGGTTTCCCCTCTAAGTTGGGGCATATTTAGCTCATTATTAGCTATTACCTTCTAGAAAGATAGTTGCATTCATACAGGAAAAGGTATATGAACATGGAAATCTAGCACCTAGTATATTAACAGCAGATAATAATTCTAAGTAATTTTTAATAATTCCTAACTAGTTTCCTTCAGCTCTCCCTGAAGGAAAGAGAGGGACACACTTAGCATACACAGAGCTGTTTTATTTACTCCAGAAAGATCGTGAGATCATGCTGCTAGTTGATGAGGCACCTTCCTTCCCCTCTCTACTTCTTGTTTTCTCTCTGTGTCTAGGCCCTCTGATCTCGGAAATGATTTACACGTCCTCTGCAAACTACAACTATCCTCTTCTCTCTGTCATGCTCTTTCTTTGCACAATCCTGCTGCGCTTCATCCCGTTGACTTCAGCACTCTCCCACCAACGCACAAAACTGATGATGGTGCAGATCACCGCTGCTTTTGTTGGTACCTACAATAATACCATACAGCTGCTGCCTGCTGTCCTGGGATTTTCCAAGGGCTCCTGCGGCTGAGCAGGTTGCAGACTGATTGAGACATGTTTGGTGGTTCAGCCAGGTTTGCCACAAGGGGGGGTGAAGAACAGAAACCAGCTGTGGAAATTTACTGACTCTCTGAAGATCTCATGACTTCTTGCTAAATCTGAAAATTCCCAGTAAAACAAGAACAATTTTGTTTCTAAACCTCCTGTGCTGCCTTTCATCATTCTGTGATTACCTGCACATTGCACGGTCAGTGCCATTTTTTGTCAGTTATAGAAAACAGTCCATCATTTGCTGAAAGGGCAGAAGGTAAAGAATTCATTGGTAAAGACACTAGTTGCTGGTTCAAAGAACTTCCACACAGATGGTGAATTAAATATATATATATTCAACAAATTAGCAAACAGTGTGCCAACTTTTCTGAAATATATGCACATTAGGAGTATGAGTGGGAGCAAATAAGGTTGTGAGGAATCTTTCTGCAGCTTCTGTTTTCAAACAGTGATCTTGCAAAGAAGTCTTTTTCTTGCCTCTTTTTTAAAGGTAAATATGTGCGAATCTCTTTAAATCATCTGAAGTGGATCATGGTTATGACTAAGAGATAAGGAGGGATTTGTCTGTCTGACAAACTTCCCCTCTGTTTTCAGAGTAGACTGGTATTTTCAGAAGTAGCGAAATACCGCTCAGTGCAAAAAGCAGGGCATATTGTAAATTGGAGATCTGCCAGCTCATGGGCTGAGCAAAAACTGTTGAAATGCAAGATGCTTTAAGGCTCTGCTCTGTTTCCTGCACTAGAAAAGCCCCTGGTGATGTCTCTAAGTAAAGGTTTCAGTCTCCAGTCCACAGGAGATCAATGTAATGCCTACTATAAAGTCAATAGGAATTTTCCATTAGTACAGTCAATTGTTCTTAGTCATCTTTATACTAGACCATATCATCTGCTCATCAGAATTAATCGTGTTTATTTAAAAAAATTGAGGGAGGGAGAGTGGAAGAAACCAGGAGCATTAGAAACAGAGAAAAATGCCTTGAGTCTGGCTTATGCCTCTAGGCAGGGCATAAAATGAATCTGAAATAATGTAATTTCTAAGCAAGACATGGCTAGAAGTAGAAACAGCAACGGTGACAAGATATGACCAACGCAGTCACTGGCAGCACTGGAGGTGACAGCCAGCAGAGCCTGCAAAGCTCATTCTGGGCATGGTGCAAGGCCCTGATACCACCAATAATGCTGCAGAGTCCTGTTTTGCTGTAATGTTATTGATAAGGCTTCGTAAAGAAAAGCAACTAGCTCACACAGCTGTACTGAAGACATGCAGACCAGGAGATTTGCCTACTTAGGACTCTTTTAGACTTGGGGATGAAAGGGGAAAGCAGCTGTATGTATTCCATGGGGCACCCACTGTAGCGAGGCCTTTTTTCTCAGCCTTTATTGAAATACCAACGTATTGGAATACCAAGTCATATACTAAAAAACCTGTAGCAATTTAAGGTGGGAGCAGGACATTTGCAGGTAGATAATTAGCTAATTAGCTAATGATAATCTCTTGCTATGCATAGCCAAAAACTTTGTACAGTACAGCATTTAGGTCAAGATACAACATATTGAAAACTGACATACTGAAATTTCTCTGGATCTGTCTAGGAAAGGGTAAAGACGATGATCCCAAAGACTCCAAGAAAAATTATTTAAAAAAATTAAGATCAGAAAATGAAACCCGTAGAGAAAAGCAGACACACTGAAAGCAGCAAGACTGCAGCCCTGTACGTCATATAAAATGAATGCAATTCACCATGCTGAATTGTTCATGCTCAGACCATATATGTTCAGTTCTTGACAAAGTAATCTCTTTGCAAAGCTACATAATGCAGCAGAGTCAGCTATGAATGACTTATAAACAAAGAAGCTATTCAGCTGTCAAAGCAATTTTCAGCTATATTAAAACAGAATAGGATGGGATGGATTCTGCAGAGCTCTCTGCTGCGTGCTGTCCCGTGAAGGCAGCGGCATCGCATGTGTGTAAACCACGCGGGGAGAGGGAGTGCGTGCGTGCACGGGCGGCCGCCCACGCAAACACATGCACACACACGTGCGCGGGATAATCGCCTGTTGCCTTTCTGAGCTCACGTTATACATTGCAAAATGGTTATTTAAATTGCATTTTCGCTCTGCACTTAGGGATGTCACCGAGTTCTGGCCATGGCGATGACGTGCTCGGTTTCCATAGAAACCAATGTACTTTGGAGGGGGAAAAGCAGAAGGAGACTGAGAAAAGCAGAAAAATTGAGCAGAAAAATTGAGCAGAATAAGGGAAGTGTGTGGTGTGAACAGATCATTTGGGTACTGGGGCTGCTAACAAAGTGACTTACCTTGTCAGCAGGGAGACACCTTATTCGTGGGTATGTCACTTCAGAATATTCACAGCAGTTCAAATTTATGCCAATTAAATGAACGCACCATCCTATTGCTCCATATATACTAACCACCATTAGGTGGACTGAATCTGGATTAGGGAGGCCAGGCTTCCAGTGTGATTTCTGCTGACACACAACTTTTGCTGTTTGCTCTGTCTCTGGTGTCATTAGCAGGTGTTTCCTATCTTCATCCCCAGACTGGGGAAGGAGGCAGGGCCTGGGAAACTACAGATTTCAACTAAGGTTCAATGAAATACCTGTCAAGTCTCCCATAAAAAAGCTGTGTATGATCTGTACCTCCCAAGGGGTAGGTGGGGCAGGGAGAGGCATGCTGGAGCTATTTTATGATTTTTTCCTTCTCAAAACAGCCAACTTGCCATTGAATCATTTAATCACTAATTAAAAATCCTGGATAAAACAAGCTGTCTACAGCTTTCTGGCAAACATCCCACTGACTTTGGTAGGGCCAAGATTTTACCCTTTCCTTGACTGTAGAGCTTGTTTGTTGTCACTTCTTTTTCTTTAGCTGTTCTATGTGTTTTATGCCAGGTTTTTTTCTTTTAGCTACTTAATTTATTTTTCTCAAATGTTATCTCATTTTAGCTCCAGAACGCAGACCTTTAATATGATCACCTCTACAGGTAGTCCATGACCAGGCTAGCTGTGTTTTGCCCACATCCTTTCAGCTGTGGTCTAGGGGAGGACAAGGAGTATATGCAAGGGCAGTAGGAATTCCGGCAGCTAAAGACTTCATCAAGCACCTCAGTGGTCAGGCACCTAGATTTGCAGGTCCTTGTTGCCAGAGCTATTTGATGCTCCTGGGAGACCCTCAGCTGGTATCTGACCTGCTGGAGAAATGATGGACTGCTGCAGCCTGGAGCACCCAGCCATTTCATCTACCAGGGCTGAGTGCTGGGAGTAGAAACAGAGTCTTATATACAGGAATGCTGTTGGTTACCAAGTGAAATTCCTGTTATGTCTGTGAATATACTTTGATTCATACTTTTACTGTCTTACCTTTTTGTATTTACCAGTCACATATTCTGTAATTTTGCTTTCAGAGCTTGCATTAGAAGAGACCTATTCCATTTCTGCCTGGGGCTGAATAACTCTAAGATGCACCCATGCTGTCACCCCCGCTGGCTGCTTGCTTTAAGGTAGGGATGTGCCAACAAACCCTGCTTCGAGGAGGCTTTCTGGCAGAGTGCAGTTGAGTTTCTGCCGTGTTCTTCATGAGAAGCTACTGTTGGTCACACAGGGCTCATGTACAAGGGACTTGAGCCAACTCAAGTTGCCAGGACCTACTACTGCATTCTTCAAAGCTTAGGGCACCAGAGTACAAAAAGGCAGCCAACACCCTAATCCCTTACCAACACATTGGGTGACAAAACCCACAGCAGTTACCTGTTATGTTGACGCGATTCAAGCCCATACTTGTCAATTTATCTTTATTCACCCAAATCCATATCTAACCCCCAGTGTTGACAGGTAAGAGTCTTGTTTGATGGTTCATCAACAAATTATACAAGTAAAACAAAATTAAGTGAAGGAAGATATCAGTTGGTGATTAGCTCTTACCTTGCTTGTTTTCCTTAGCTCTAAACTTTGAATTTTACAAGTTATATGTTAAATGCTCTGATTTACTTTCTGGTACACAGACAGAAAGAAGCAGATTGTAATCCATGTGCTTTGTAGGTAATATAGAATTTTTTCCTCTGGGGAATCCATCAGTGTGGATGCATACTATGTATTTATGAGACCCCTTGCAGATCTTTAGGGTAGGTTCTCACAGGTTAATTCTCTTGGACTTCTTATTGTTAACATTTATTCTTCTTTTAAAATGGCAAGCTCTCATAACTATGCAGAGGGCTTAGTTCAAACTTCAGGCAACTCTCACATCACTTTATTTGCAATTGGACTTGATGCAGAACTCAGCAAGATTTCATTCAGCCCTTTCTATAGTGTTGGTTGCAGTGCTGTGGAGGTGAAGGTGAGCAGGGAAAATTGCTTTTGGCTTGAATGTTCTGTATTAGTTAGTCAGTGTTGTGTTTTGCTTGTTCCAGAGGCTGGTTATTATCTTTGATAGTATGTCACTCTGTGCAGCAATGCTGAGCACAAGAAAGAGCATCTCTTACATGTGCTACCACTGATTCACTGCATGTATTTCCTATGAGAATACCTCAGTCACGTCAAAACTGCTCATTTCTAGATAGCAACTAATATGTAAACACTAGATATCATGTGACAAGTTTGAAGGCCAGATCAAGAAGGTAATGTTCAAGGGTGATGTCTGCACAAAAAAATAAACTTCTGGAAGCCACTGTAACTTCATGCATGAATGAGGAGGATTTGCATGACTCAGGACTGGTTTTTTTCCTGTTATTCAAGTACTGGGATGAACAAGCAAGGTTAAAAACAAAGCAAGCAAACAAACAACCAAAAAATTAATAATAAGTCTAATAATAAGTCTGTACAACCCAAGTGTACTGCTTATCATTGTGTTATACCAAAACAAAATTTGTAATGTACTTTGCCTTGAACAATGGGATTTTCCAGAGTCGTCAGTGTAGTGTTGGTTTTCATCCTCTCTAGTATTGCTGTTCCTGACTTCTCAGCCTCTGGAATTTTCATCCTAATTTTCCTCTTTTGCTTTTAATGAAATAGCAAACTTAGCTTTATTATCTCCAAGAATTCTCCCACACAAGAGGATTTAAAATTTCTAAATGAAAGTCAACAGGAGAAGATGATAGTTGGTCTAATTTCCTCAGAAATTTTATACCTTAAGTATTTATAATAATAAGGCTTTGTTGCTGGAACCTTTGAATACCAAGAATCTGAAAGAGGTATCTGAACCAGCAGGTTCTGAGAATATTTCCTAGATAGAAACCCAGGAGGAAGAAGAGGAGTAGGGGAACAAAAGCCATGTAATCGTATAACTGAGCATGTAATTTTCAGCAAAAGAATTTCTTTTTGAGTTTAGTATTTTTTCTTTTGATAAATTCTTCCTGTAGAAAGTGAAGTTTTTCAGTCTCTGTACTGTTCCAAAATTTAGGCTTTTAGTTTTCTTGATGTGGTTATTTTTTTTGACATCACTTAGTGGTGATGAGTTTGTGTTCACGTCATGTGATTGGATGGCTTGGTCATGCTTAATGACTTCAGCCTTATAAGCTACATTTGACTCAGAAAAGTATCATTTGCTTGTTGGAAGGAGAGCCTGCCTCATTAATCAGTCAGTGAAATTTACTTCTCATCAAAAAGTTTTGTCATGGTAGGATTCAACAAGACTTAAATGGTACATGATACTTCTTCATGTTTGCTTTACAGGGCTGAATCCCGCACATAGCATGGCTTTTTGGAGTATGACAGCCATGAGCAAATTTTCAGTCACACAGTGATTCTCAAAAATAACTGAAATTGGATGCGAGGGAAGATCTGTCTGATGATGATCCAACATAATCATAAATATTTCCTCATTTTCTCTTTAGTGTTTGTCAGCCCTTCATACTTTCACTCTATTCTCTTTTATAGCTTCTTGGCTTTGTGTTTTGGTTATGCCTGTTCTGGTTCTCAAAACTAATTTTAGAATTTACGGGAGATGGTCTTGAGTATTGATGAATCCATGTAAACTAATGCAGACATATAAAGTGTTAGCTTTTTTTACAGGGGTTGTTTTCTCTCACTAAGTAAGAGAGATCTGGATAGATTGGAGGTATGCTTTATGATCAGTCAATCTGTATAGTTGAGCCAAGCTACCTTATAGAATGATTCATGCTGTGATGTGCCACTTGAAACTTGGCCTGAGTTCTTGCTGGATGATGGTTGCCTTTGCATTATGATGGTGAGATGTTTCCCTACTCCTAAAACAATCTGGGGTATATTCATTGATTGCTTTTTTTTGTTGTTGTTGAAAAGTTAGAGTTTTCCACCAGGTAGCTCCTTCTTCAAAATCTTTGTGCCATCTCCCACAGTATTACCTCACAAGTATCTGGCAGTTAGATTAAAATCAGGTTGCAGTATAGTTTGTTTTGTATGAACATTTGTAAGTCAGCTGTTTACAGGAGTTTCCCCGAGCATACAAAACCTGTGAGTTACATATCATTTGTCATCAGGAGTTTGTTGTTGTTAAAGAATTGCCAGACAGAGCCTTGTTCTCTTTCCATAATACTAAAATTAATCTTGGTTATAATGGAATCCTGGTACAAAATGCATCCTTTTGCATTGGCAAATCAAGTGCTTGGCATCAGCAATATTTACATTTACATTGTTTTTGAACTGCAGTGTGTGCTGGAAGGTAGGGTGAAATATTTCCTAGATGGCCAGATTATTTCTAAGAAAAGATGTATCCTGGAGCAGAAATTTAGAAACCTTCTGTTTCAGAGGAGGCTTCATGGTCAACACAGTTACAGTGGGGTTTTACTAGATGTCCATGGCCCCTCTTGCATTGCCTTCACATGGGTTATACCTTGATTTCAGAGCTTTCCAAATTCCTATTGTACAGGCAGCTGCATGAGCTACCTTTCTTTGTGCTCCTGCTTTGACTTGTTAATATCCATCCAAGTTCTTAAGAGATTTGTTCTCTGTGCAAAAGAAAAAGTGACTGAAGTCTCTTCTGGTTATCTCATTGCACTCTGATGCTCACGAACTTATCTCAAATTGCTAAATAAATATAAATAATATTTATATATCATATTTCTTCATAAGTATATGTTGTTTCCACTCTTCCTGCATTCCTGGGGTTTGAGCAAGGGGAGATCAGAAAACACTGAGAGAATGTTAGGATACGTGGAAAAACTTGCAGAGACCTTGATTCCAGGAAGGAGATACACACATACTGATAAACAATTCCTTATCTAAGAAATACTCCAGAAAGTGTTTCTTAAATAAGAGTGCTTCTCTGAAACTGAGCATTTGGTTGTGTGGTGGTTTTTCAGTATTTCAACACCCTGCTGATAGTGTTGTGAAATTCTTGCTGGGCCTTAGCCAATTAACTGAATAAACTTTTATTTGCTTAATGATTTTATAACTCTTTTATAGGAGATAAACTTGCCATTTTTTCATTTGATTTCTCTCCTGCATTTTGTGTAAGAATACTATCTAATCTCACAGAAATTAAAAGTCTTTGAGACTTAAATTCTTGCAAAGTTATTAAATACATCAATCAGAACACGTTTGGACACTTAACAAAGTTCTCATTATGTTTTTCTGTGATATTTTTAGTATTATTACAGATAACTACTGTTGTATTATTAAATACATTGAATTCTCTTATATGCTGTAGTGTAATTTTCCACTTCACTTCCCCTATATTTACATGTACTCATACACCTTCCAATTAAGGTCGTCTTTCAATGCTCTGCAGTGTCACACTTTAGAGAAGAACTGAGATCTTCCAAATCTGAATCCCATAAACTGTCTGCAGAACAGTCCTTCTTTCTAATGGCCATCCAGCCCCTAGAATTCAGCACAAAGGTTATGATCAGAAGTATGATAATATCACCAAAGACATCAAACTAATGAGTAGGTCTTTGTAGTTACAAAAGGATTTAATAGGAACAAAAATATTCCCTACAAACTGCAGATTTTATCACTCTATTATTGTTGGTAGTATATTTCATATTTTCAAGCATTCAAGTAATGTATACAAAATTAGAAGCATGAGAAAAGGTATAGAAATCATATCTGGAGGCTACCTTAGCGAAGAGAGAATAGGAGAATTCTCATTCAGTATAGATAAAATAAATTTCTGTCCACGGGGCATAGGCATTGAGAGGAAAATAACTTATATGAAACCAAGGGCTGTAACAGCCTAATTTTGTTCTCTGGACCCAGGTAAATTTCATCCTAACACAATAAATAAATACATAATATAAAGTGCAGTGCCATTTCCTGATTCATTATCTTGTTAGACTCCAAATAAACATATATCATGCTGGAATTGCAATAACACAGACTTAGTACATATAGAGGGAATTGCATCCAGCTACTAAATATGAAGAAAATGTACCAAAAGCAAATGATTTAGAGGAGAATGAAATTCTCCTTTAGACTCAGTGATGATTCTGTTATGTTCTCCCAGGGAAGATGGCCCCTCTCTTCTGCAAATATTTTTTACAATATTTTCTTTCTTAAGCAAAAAAATGAAAAAAAAATCTACTTGTGTGTAGAAACAAATTTATGATATTTTACTACACGCTATCATCATTCTATAAGCTGAAAAGCAACAAATCAGAATGTTCAGCAAAATAATTTAGATCACTATGCAATAATATATAATCACATTAGCTACATATGTATGGGTAATAGTATAAAGCTGTTTTCTCTGTTCTTTGTATTCTGCATCACCTGAAAATTTTTCTTGATGCTCAGAAGCTGCCTGGAGCCCATATATGTCAAGTGCTGTAGGAATGGGAGAAGGAATAACAGTAGCAACAAATGATGTAATTATTGATACAATTATCATTGCTGTTATTATTATGAAAGTTTGCTGTAACACCTACTGTGGCTGGTGATTTTTGGACACTTAAGTGTTTACCCTTCACTCCAGAGAGTCCATAATCCAAGGACAGAAGTTGGGGAAGAAAACATCAATAAGCAATTTATGGAAAACTTACCCCCAAATCAGCAAGGTCCCTTATAGCAATGGAAGCATGCCCTTAGCAGGGTTTATATGGAGGGGACTTAGAAGATGAGCCATGGGTGACTGGATAGGGTTTAGGGTTTGGACCATGGTGTGGTGGCCTTGGAGCACAGGTGGAGGAGGTTGTGGACACCAGTGAAACACAAGGCTGGAGACAGGTGGCTTGAAGCATCTTAGGGCACGACCGTGCCAGCATAGAGCATGTGACGGCATGGAGCAAGCACCAGGGCTTTGAGGGTGGTGCTGGAAGTCAGAATTTGCTCCATGAAGGTTGGGAGGCTGGTTGAGGAATTAAAAAATTTAGCATGGGAAGTTCTTAGTGAGCCTTTGTCTGTAGAGAAATGCTCTGAGGAGACAGTAGTGAGACAACATTGGTGTAAATCCATGTGGTTGTATAGATTTCAGTGCTGCCCAGCTGAGAATTTGGCTAGCAGCTTACAAATCCCCTGCGTTTCACATATTTGAGTACAAAACAACTTTTCTTTCAGACTATAGTGTAATTGTGAGTCATTAGCTTCTGCTTGATGACGATCCAGCTACTTTGTCAAAGCACTGAAATAAAACTGTGCATCTCAGGAGACTTAGCTGTGCAACATGGAAAAACAAATACCCTCTGTGTCATGGACAGTGCCTTGTACATCCATGGGCAGATGTTTGGTGCCACAGCCTGAGCTTCTCCCCAGAAAGGGCAGATCCGTAAAGCAGCTTCTCACCAGACCTTCAATTCCATTTAAGTCCCCCAGATAGATTCAGGGTGATTTTCACACATGATGGCCACATCTAGAAAGAATGACTGTGACATCCATGTTGAGTTACGGGAGGGCTCACACACTGAAGATGAAGACAAGAAATAAATGGCCAATACCTCTTTAAGAATCCACAAGAGCAAAGCAATAAAAAAGGAAATACAATAACTCCGATAATAAAAACATTATCTTATAGATTTCATACAAACTTTGCCTTAGGGAGGCCACCTGGTTTGTGCTTTACTGACACAGCTGTTCGGACTTTTTTCCTTTGCTACATAAAAACTACAGGAATCTGAACAGCTGTTTGGGTTAATTTTTTTTAATGCCTTCAGTAAGTAAAAATAAGGGCAAGTGACATGAATAAGTGATGTGAGATTGCCCCCAAAGATGCTTTAAAAACTTTCCAGAATATTTCCTGAACCTCATCCACAGCGAATAAAGTTCTGTTGTCCAGAAGGAGCTGAGCCAGAAGGGACATTTCCACTCGTGGCTGACCAGGTGTAGCATTACCTGTCCCGCATCTCTTCATGTAGTAAAGACTCACTTAGATTGGGGCAAATTGACAAATTTAGTTATACTGAAATCAGCCCAAGGTAACCCCACTGACTTCACTGGAGTCACTTAGAATTTCCATAACGAAAACTAAAAACCAAAAACTAATTTTGCTTAAAACTATCTATAATTTGTTCCGTTTCCGATCCAGGGAATTATTCCTCATTTTGAAGGGAGACAGTGAACAGAATTGGTCAGGAAGCCTGGACAGATATCATTTCCCAAAGAAAAATGACATTTTTGCTATTTCCAAAATCACAGTGTTGCGGGGGGGAAGAGCTGGTGCCGATTAGTGCTGCCCCTCCTGACACGGAGCACACTAATAATGTCCCAGCAGGTCAAAAACAGGTCCGGTTTAAGTGGGTGATGGAATGAAGTAAGTGGGAGTCGCTTTGCTTTTTGTTGCCCAGTGCTTCACACACCTCTAGCGGCAACCCTCTTTGTTGCCAAGACAACCCTGAAGAAATACGAAATCCAGAACAATACCCTGTGCACGAGAAGCCTCGTATTCTTTAGTGCACACGTTCGTTTTGAATGTCAAGAGAAACACTGCCCTCCAGATCATCCCAGGTAAGTCCAGGTAAAGGTATAGGTGATGTCTGTGAGATGATAATGACTTGCATTTATAGATTGTCTTTTGTCCTAACGGCTCCCAAAGCTTGAGGGGACGGCACTGAGAGCCCGATTGATGCTATTTCTGCAGTGCAGCGTTACCTGCAGCTGCCCAGGCAGTACCAGGAGGGTTCCTGAGGGCTGCTGTGAAAATAAGCCAGGGCTGGGGCACTGACTGCTCTCCCCAGCCTGTGCTGCATGTGGAGGTGTCTGCAGTGAGCACTGAACACCAGGCTGTGATGATCTGCCTTTGCAGTGGTTTCTAAAGGTTTCTCAGGCAGCTGAATGCAAGTTAGTGCAGCCATAAAGGTCTTTTCATTACTAATAGGGACTGGACCTAGCTGTGCTTGGTCTCTGGGTCAAAGGAAATATACGCGTGACTTAAGCCTCTTTACTTAAGGTCTTGGCTCAGTGCTGGACAGTGGAAGGTCTAGAGCTTTGGTGTTTTTTTTTTTTAATGCTTATTTATTTAACCCCAATGAATGTAAATTGGATAAAGGTCCAAGAGGTCACAATAAACACCTCCATAGACTCTTAGGGTATCCTCTTGCAAAGACTAATGTCAGGAAATTTTCTGTTTCTAAGAGATATGCTATGTACAGTTTGCAAATATAAACCTCAACTTTCCAAATTATCTCCAGATCATCTTTGAGCCTCCCATTTTATTCTGGAACACTGTTTTTGCCACATTCGAAGTTCATTTTGACCTCCTCACTAGGAATGGCTATGCTAGGAGGAAGTAATCTCCAGTCAGTCAAAGCTCTTTGATAAATAGAGCAGTAGCAGTTGGAGCAGGGAGCACTGGATTCTGCATAGATGGAGACTTGGGGTTTTTAAGTTGAGACTGGAACTAGCTTAGTCCTATAGGCTGAGCTCCAAAACTGTGCCATACATGACCCGTAGCACAGTAAGTCAGGGTATCACTTCCAGAGCACGCTCCTGATCCAGGCTAAACCTCAGATGTAAATTAGCATTTTAGGAGGAGAGGTACTACCCAGTTCTGAAATGGGAGTGTTGCATACTTTACCATCACGGTGAGGAGCTCCAAAGCAGAGCTGGTTCTGCTTTGCTGAGTCCATCAGCATGCCCAGAACTTCAGCCTTCCTTTATGTCACGGTCTCTCCCTGGCTGTGGGAGGAGTCCTGAAAATGAGATGTGGGGCTGTACTTCAAGCAACAATCCTGGAAGCAATAGTTCTGCTCTTGTCTGTCTGCGTGAAGTACAAACTCTACAACATACTGAGACCCATCTCACCCTCATCCTACTGGAAGCCACATCCTGTTGGTTTCGGGTGAGGCATCCCTGAGCTCAGGCCACTGCCTGCTCCCGTTTTAACACCTTATAAACAAATTGAAAACTTGCAGCTCAGGAACAAAGGAGGCATGTGAAAGAACTGCAGTTTCACGAACTGTTCAGTGGGAGTTGGAGCTATTATAGAACATCCCGTTCCAAAAGGAAACAAATGACAGTCTGACGCTGCCGGGGAATAGTGACGTATGTGGCTGTGGTGTGAGTCAGTCCGTGCGAGATTCAGATACGGACCTAGGGGGAAAACATTTGTGGCAGCAGGACCAATCACATGCTCATAGATGGAATTACCTCAGCTCATTTTTCATTTGGGTATTAATATATTTGCTGCACTTCTTGAGCAAAAGGCAAATAGCAGCCCAGACAAAAAGGCACGTGTAGGGGCCGTTCTATCTGTCTCTTCTTGCAGCCTCCTGCTTCCCACCCACACTCCTGCACAGACAGAGATAATGTATCATGAGCCTTTTGGTGTATCACTGTTTTGTTCAGTAAAATGGAATGTGTTGTTGTTGTTGTTATTTGTGTTCTCTGGAATCCCAGAGCATTCCCATTGCAAAGGCACAGGCCCATGAATGGAACAACTAAGTGAATTAGTGGGGAAACATTTTGTTTATCTCTAAGTGGTGTCTTGCTTTTTAATAACTTACAGCTCAGTTGAATGCTTGTGTTCATTTAAAAATGAAAACTGAAGCCTAAGGATCCTTTTAAGGCCCTAAAGGAGTCTGTAGAGCTAATTCTCTGGTATGTGGGGGATGTGTAATGATGCATAAATTGTGAAATGAATTGGCTGTTTACTGGAAAGTTACAGTGATCTCGTGGATAATGTCAGTCTGAGATAAGAACCCCTCAAGAAACCTTGAGGACAAGGAGGCTTTAGTAGTAATACTACCTTGAGGTGTTCTCATCCCCGACTTTTTTCCCATCATTTTGCTCCAGCACAGCCCTCTTCCAGTTATGCTCAAATACCTCTTCGTGTGACTCTCCAGCAAACCATATCAGGAACTGATGGGAATTAAAAACCATGACAAAACACCCTGTAAAATAGGAAGGATCTTGTTTTCTTTTTCTCTCTCTCTCTTTTTCCCCAAACAATTCATTTCATTTAGCTCAGTTCCTTGATCAGCATGGCCCCAAGGAACAACTGCACAGGCCAACTGCTGAAAGGCCCAAATGTTTTGTGGCAGAGAGAGGGGAAACGCTGGCTGGGGCTGATGGTGGGAACTCCGTGACAGTGCTGCCACCAAAATCTGCAAATCGGTAAACCGTAGCGGGTGAAACGTTACTTCATTCAGCAGCAAAACAGAACAGCTGCTGTGTGTTTCCAGAAAGAACAAATAAGGGGGATGTTGTTTGGCCACAGACTGTGTCTGTGCCAGGGTTGGAGGACACAGTGGGGGAAGGATTTGGGTTCAGGCAAGTGAAGTCTTGTGGGCAAAAAAGGCCTCAGAAAGCCATAGCAGCCATCAGGTATTTCCCAGCTCTGATGCTGGAATCTCAAAAACATATTTTACTTTTTCATGGAGGTTCAGTCAAATCTAAAGCAGAACTGCAGGTTGGAGGTGTGTTCTAACCCACAAACAGGACCAAAAAATAGGCCTGGATCAGTGTTTCAGAACAAAAGCAGAAGTCTCCTCAAAGGAACTGAGAAGTTTGGTTTGTGCCTCTCTGTTTGTAATTGCCTCATTTCTTTACTTATGTTTTAAAGCAGTGTTAGACTGAGGGAGCTCACCCAGCACACTTCATCACCAGACATGGAGAAGGCTTTGCTGGTGTAGCACGAAGCGAGTCTATGGGTGTGCAAACCACTTTGGCCAGCTCTGATGTCCGGCAGCACTAGCAGAAGCAAATGGGTAAAAAAATACCTCATTACAAATTTTGCCTGTAGCAAAGATCTGTCAAAGCAGGGTGGCTGCTTCTGCAGCTGAGGCCTGAAGCCTGTGCAGCTCATATCTCCCCGAAACGGCAAGCCCAGAGCCGGCACAGGCTCCCCAGCTCATCATTATCTGCAGCATCCTTCCTTCCCCCTCCTCTGCCCTGGCATGGGCACCCTCCCCTCTTATCACTGAGGTGGCAATATTTTGTTTGCACAGCTGACAGCTCTCGAACTGCCTCTACGTGACCGTCAAGGTCACAAAGTCATTTGATCCCTTGACCGAAATACCTGTAGTAGCCTCTGGTCCGAGCTACACGATGCACTGCTGCCGGCGTAGCTTGCGAGACGCTGAAGGGACAGCTTTCTGGCGGCACTACAAAGCAGCTTTCCTGGAAAAGGCAACGGTTTGCCAGTATTGCAGACTGGTAATTTCATGCCCATAAAGAGCTCTTATTGTAGTCTTGAAATCCAGCCGCACCCTCTCTGTCCTGGCCTCAGGTGTCATGCCAGCCCCACGGCAGGACGAGGTGTCAGCAGCGTGTGCCGGCACCGCGGGCCGCCTGCTTCAGGCAGCAAGCAAGGCCCTTGCGTGCCACAGCCCTGGGGAGGCCAGGAGAGGGGCTGCCCACTAGCAGGTGTGAAAACCAGCCCCGCTGCTCCTCCTGCAGCTCGCTTTTCATCAACTCCTCGCCCTCCCTGCCGAGCGGTCCCGGCCCTCGTACCCGGCACAAAGCTCCAAACAACCCCCGGCGTGCTGGGCCCCACCGAGGGGCTGATGTCACCGTCCCGCAGCCCGCTGGCATGAGTCACGCCGGGCTGCCGCCAGGCACGGGGAACACAGAGGGCTCTTCATGGGCCCCGAGAAGGGCAGGAGCCGCGTGGGAGGGCGTTGCTGCAAGAGGGGATGAGGCCAAGGTGCCGCAATGACCCTGGGTGCTGGGGAAGGGGGTGGGGGGTGGCCACACCTCGGCCTCCAGCACCCAGGGTTGGAAGGAGGTCACCTCCTGTTTGGATTTCTTCCCTTGGGTTGTTTTGGACAATTCTGCACTTGTTTCAAGAAAGGATCGGGGTGGGGTAGGAATGGTTTTATTTCAGAGGAATTCCTGTGACTTGAGCTGCCTGAATTAGTCAGGAGCAGGGGAGGGTGGTACGTGTCCAGAAACGGTGCACAGGCAGGGAGCCCAGGCTCCCTGACAGCACGAACAGCCGTGGCTGAGGCACGTCCCAGCATTTAGGCACCTTCCTGGGGTGTCCCGCTGCCCCTGGCCTGCGGATGGCTGTTCTGTGTCAGCGAAGCGTTGCAGCATTGACGGGCACCAGGGCGGTGTTTTTAGCAAGGACAAGGTGACGCAAATTACACGAGTGAGCGTGAGTAGAGTCGAAGCTGCTGTCACCAGGGAAGGGAGGCATCTCCCAGTGCCTGCCAGCAGTGCAAAGATGGAGGGGCTGGGGGCACTGATACTTCCTGCCTCCTGGGGAGGGGACTCTCAGCATCGCTTCTCTGTCTGCAAAGTCCAGTTCCTAAAAGCGATGGCACCTGTGACATGCTGACATGAATTGTAGTTTCTGAGCATTTCCAAAAACCTCTGAGCTTGCCTAAGAAAAAAGCATCAAGTACTGATGATGACAGAGTGTATTATATCTAATTATATGAACCCTGGAATCGGCTATTTCCCCTTTCTTCCATCATTCTGATATAATTGGAAGCAGGAAGACACTCACAAAAGAAATACTGTTTCTGTGAGCCAATCCAACCCATTTTTGCAGATTTTTGCTGAAGGTTCAGAACCAGCAAATTGAAATAATCCTACAGACTTTGGCTTGCTTACATAAAGTCCTAACCGGCCACTGCAACTGATTTTTCTAAATGGTTCTTTTATGTCCGCAAGGAAACAAACAAAACCTCCAGATTTAAATATCACTGAACTGTAGGACTTTGGAAATCCAGATTCAGCTGTGGATCAGCTGTGGAGCATGAAGTTAAGATTTTATGTGAGCGCACATGCTGGGAGTCGGGATGAATAGCAAACATGCAAATGCAGTATTTAATTAGGAGTCACATGGAATCAAAACAGACAGCTAGTTACATTAATAGAGAAGCAGACAGAAGCACTGAGCATGTTTGCCTATAGATGTGAGGTCACACTTGAATAAGTTGATATGGTTGTCAGGATTTTATGAAAATGCTCACAAATTGCCAAGTTTCATGAATTTTCTCATGCCCAGGGATCCACGCTGTGTTTACTATTTGCTATTCACTACTGTCACTCTCCGCTAATACAGGCAGGAAAACAACGTCAGGTGACTGGTGCGATCGAACACCTAATGAATAGGCAGCACTGAATAGTGGGAGCAAAGGGACGCTGAAAGCCTTAGAGTTAGAAAGTGATGGGCCATGATGTTTTGCGGATAACAACTGAAGTTTGAAAAATACCAGCTTCGGTTTTTGAATGATTTGCTAACTAAGATAGGGATGTGTGCTAAATTTGCAATTAATATTATTTTAAAGAATAGATCAAACAGCTCTAGCAGATTTCCTCTAACTGACAAGTTCCATTAAACAAGAAAGCTCATTCTTAGTAGGAGATTTTAATATAACACTGAGAACAGAGAACAAAACAATGAATGGAAACATATCAGCAGTCAATTTCCTGCGTATTCAAGCCTGCATTATACTTTGTTCTTTGCTACAGCCACAGCTCTGTAATTATCAAGCGTATTCATGGGACTTTTTCCTATTGACACTCAGCATGAGTGTGGCTGGAAAGAGATTAAGCTTTTGTGGCAGCCATTTGAATTTGTCTAACTAAAAACAACCTGCAAGGCTGTGGGGAACCGTGTGTCTCGGGGGATTTGTGATGGTCTGCAGAACCTATGGGTCACAGGTTCAAACCATGCATGTTGGTAGCGCCGGGCTTGTAGCTCCGTAACGACTGCTCATCTGCTGGCTGCGGGTGGTGCTTGCTGCCAGACCTGGCACGGTCCCGAAGCTAGCACTGATGATGGAGCAGATGCTTGGGGTTGTTTCTCTGCTGTATGACAGATGGACTTGTTGGGAATGGACGGGATTGCTGGGCAAACCACTGCCCACCACCTTTTCCTTGGAAAAGGAGCTTTGTTGTGCCGGGACATCATCTAGCAGTTCCCATAGAGCTGCTTCTCAGCTAATACAGCAAGGTCACAGCAGGCCAGGTTATCCCTTACCCATACAGTCAGTGGAGGGTTTTTTTGCTATTAACCATTGGCTTCGTGTTTTTCATGTGCCCGGTGGCTGGGAATCCCCTGCAGCAGGGGAAATGAGCTTTCTGAGAACTGGCCTCTGGTCAGCTTTCCATGCAGGCTTGCCTCTCCTCACACGCAGTGCAGAGGGAAGGCGATGGGGAGTTGGGAGCAGGGCCTGGGGGCTGCTGGTTATGTCTGTGAGGAAGGCTTAGGGGTGGGCACAGAGCGATCCTGCAGAGCTGCAGGAGAGCGAGCTGGCAGCTGGGAGCACCTCCAGCCTGAGGATGTCCAGAAGGTTCACGTTTATTCAGGTAAACAGTTTTCATATACATGTATGCTAACACAGCATTTTCTTAGACAGTGCTGTGTCTATGGACAGTGCTGTGCCCATGCACAGCTCCACCATTTGGGCAGGAGGCATTTCTGCCAGGCATTTCTATATCTCTTTGCCATGCAGTGCAAGTATGGGTGGAAATTCAGCTGCTCAGCATGCAGCGCCTGTTCATTCCACAGAATTGAGCGCACACCATGTCTTTTTACACAGTTCTCTGTTTCTGTGTAAACAACCATTTTAGCCAAAGATGGAAAACCAAAATCCTGTTTACTTAGGCTCTCTCACAGTCCCAAAGAGCAGGAGCGTTAGTGTTGGTGTACTGGCCCCGCTCCAGCTCAGGTAATTGCTGTGCATTCTGCCCTACTTACACACCCCCTGTAGTTTCAATTAGAGCAATTGTTTTCATTTTTCTTTCCTGCCCTGTCAAGTATTAATACAGTTGCTGTTAAGCTGCTCGTGTGGTCCCTTGCTTAGGTGTTGTGTTTCCATGGTAAAGGCAGGCATCCTTGTATGCATACCTGGACTGACCCCTCACTGGCGAAGCCTAATGTAATGCTGTAATGGAGCTGTGCTGATCTGCACTACTTGAAGGTATGGCCTTGCTACCTAGAGACCACATTCTTCTTTCTATGTAAATGCTCTATAAGAACATGTATGATTTATTTATTTTTCTACTCACTCTTCAGCCAGGTTTGCAAATAACCTGAGGTTCGTGGAGTCGCTTACACTTACGCTCACGGTGGTAGTGTGTAGAGAATACAGCATGCAACTCGTGTATGTGCTGCTCTCCAGCTGTTCAAGAAATGGATCTACAGGGATATCTAAGCTCTTTCACTTTTGGATGTAGTCTGGTAGAGTTCACAATGTGTGATGCTTTATGTTGTGAATTGCTGGAAAACGTGTTCTCTGGAAAAAAAATAATCAAAGTTTACTAAGAGAATGAAGCACATGGAAGGATGCCTGAAAGCTATGCAGCTACAGGAGATTACATGCTTGTAGCCTAAGCCTCCTGGTATATTGAGTATTAATGTTCAAAGTTGGGGCCTGCAGCACTCACTATGCTGTTTAGCTTATTGAGACAGTTTTCCTTTCATCTGGTAAAGAACTTGGCTTGAAATGGCATGGATTTGGGCTGGTGAGCTACGTGACACACAGTGGAGTGCGTTCTGCTGTCCGATTCTCCAGTCTGTCATGTGGCCCATCAGACGGGCATCACCATCACAGGCACATGCTGAAGGGATTGGTGTTTGGGTCTGTGGAGCCACGTAGCTCGTGGCTCAGGCTACTCAGCTGCTTGAGGCGATGGTAGCTCAGTTCTCAGCAGCAAAAAGAAGATGGGACCAGATTTTTTGGGGGGAATATCTGGCTAATTCACACACAATGCCTACCCATATGTGTCTGGCATTGTATAAGACACTGTGATATACTACAGGGCCTCCTTCTGTCCCACATAAGCTCCATCCTCCTGTAGGTCTTGCACTTTACCTGCCATCCACATGCAGGTGTCTCAGGTGGCCACAGTTATTTAAAACAGCTCTAGATGTCTGTATATAGACACATCAAGCCCACCCACTGGTGAAGTGATTCAGCTGAACAAATACTGATAAAGTTTGCCTTTAAAATGAGATGTTGGTAAACTGAAAGATCCTTTGTAAAATGAGTCGTGTTTTCATTCCAAGGTAAAGCTAAGGCTGCACCCCCAGCACTGACAGGAGATGGGCTGGCACCTTTGCTCACAGCTGAGCCTTCTCCTGGCTGGGGAAACCTTTGAATGGGATGGATGGATGGATGCCTGTGTCTGCCAGATGTGGGTCAGCATGTTGTGCAGGTGGCATCATGCTGTAGGCAACACTGAGGCAGATGTGTTTTAGGTTGTTGTACATCCTGCCCTGGATGCTGTTCTCAAAGCAGTACAAGCTACAGTAATGCAATTCCCACCGACCCTCTTAATTAAGGTAGTGAGCCATCTGGTCCAGCATGACCTGGTGGGTGTATGGAAGTGATACAAGCAGTCCCTGTATACCTCCGGGACCCATGGCAAGTGCAGATCAGCTGAGCTCAGGGGTCAGAGACCAACCTGTGCCTCATTTCAGCTGAACTCCAAATTGTCTTGGTTTCAGATAAGCCATCCTGACTTCACCTGTTCTCTCACAATACTGT